ATTAGACAATGACTAAAGTTGTACAAGTGGCTAGTTGTACACTCTTTTCATGATTGCCTCCTGTAGTTGTAAAGCAACCATTAGCTGAATGTACTATCAATAAAATCCTAGGTCACAAGTACTCATCTTAATATTTAAAAAAATATATATATATATATAAAATATTAAATTTATCATATAATATAACTAAAAACATTGTTTAAATAATTAAACAATAATTTTTATTTTGTATAGGTTAATACAAGCTTTATATAAAGATTCTAAATTATAAAATTATATAATTGCAAATAAAACAAATAATAAACTAAATTATAAAGTAAAATTTTAATTTACTTTTTAATTTTATTAAAATTAATAATAAAAGTAACTACTGTATAGTTGTAAAATAACACATTCTTGTGTGTTAATTTATCTATCTGCACATTAATTTGAGATGCTCATGAGCATTATTTCAGATTATATAATCAATTTTTTTAAAAATAAATAAACTTAAATAACATATATAAATATAGAATATATTTATAATTTTAACTCCAATGTTATAAATATAATTTAATAAGATAACTTATATTAAGTTAGCCAGAGCAGCCCTCAAAGTGCCAGTATATAAGCTATAGCAGCTGTAGTTAAATAATTTTTACTAATTATACTATATTATACAAATAATAGTAATTTATTTTTTTTAAAAAAAATGTTATTATTGAGGAATTAAAAGGTTAAACAGTATAATATTAATTTCTTTATATTATTATAATTTAAAATTTGAAATCAAACCTTTAATCATAATTTATTTTATATTATATGCTGCAGCTCGTATAACTGGCACTTTGGAGAGGCCATTCTGGCTAACTTACTTATATTAGTATATTTTTACAATAAATATCTTTTAACTTCATAATTAGTCTTATTTTATTTAAAATAACAATAATGATAATGTCTACTGATATATATTATACAAATACTAACTAGTATATGATATGTATAAAAATATATATAAAGGCATTGCTTGCTTTATTTGACATTAGACTGTACAAAAGATGTTAAAAATTAGTTTACAGCAAAAAGAGCAAAAAAATTAGAAATTTTAATCTTATAATAATTTTATTCTAATCAATCTAATTCTTCAAAATATTGAATTTTTTAAAAAACAATTTTTTTGGCTTATTCACTTCTTTTACTGTAGGAGTCCTATATGATGATAAAAAATTTTTTTGAACCTCATCATAACAACATTTAAAAATTATGATTGAATTTATAAGTTGTTTCTTTTTTTAAAAAAAAAAAAAATTGACAAATTAAAGTTTGCTGAAATAGACTGAATTAAACAAATAATCATAGACATTGCAATTAAATAAGTTAAATAAGATAAATCCAAATCTACTAATAAATTAAAAAAAGATATTTGTTTTTTAAACTTTACTGTATAGCTTTTACAGTCTGCTAATTTTAATTTTATATTTTTTTAAATTTTTTTATAAATTTTAATTTTGTGCTACAGTTATTCATTACAAGTATTCTGATATATTTATTTTTTAAGCATAATGGTTTACATCTTTTGCATTCAATTTTATCTTTTTTTTTTTTTTTTACCTGACCTACAAATGAACACAGACAAAAAAAAAAGCTATATCATCTTATTTAAACTTGAAGTAGTATAATATACAAAGTTCACATTTAACTGTTATGCATCACTGTTTTACAATATTAAAAGAAGATGTGTACAAGAATGAAAAAAACAAAAGTTAGAACTTGAGATTGTTAGAGATAATAAAAACTGAAACATAAACCAAATGCAGGCTCTTGAAGGTTATGGTCAAAAAGCCAAATATTCTACTTTAGAAAAGGAATTATTAGACTATATTAAGCAAAAAACAAGATAAAAAAATTGCTGTAATGACTCACATAATTGAAAAAAAGTAAAAAATTTAGAAAAAACCATGAATATTAATGCTAAGTTCTTATATAGATAGATCAAATATTTTAGAAAATAACATAATTTGGTATAGCATGTTTAAACACAAATTGCACAAAAGTTCTCTGAAGATATGCCCTTAATTAAAAAGACAAAAAATCTTGAAAAAAAGTTTGTTATATTATTTGATGAAACACTAGTTTGGTTCAACATATCTTAGAGCTCAATATTTGATTTCTAAGATGTTTATAAAATAGCAATTAAAAGTATGAGATGTGATAAGCTTTATTTTACTATTGTTTTAGATTTTATAGCCTCTAGAAATAAGCTTCCTTCTATAGTCATTTTTAAGCTAAAAAAAAACCCAAAAGGTAGTTTTCTATAGGATATCATTTTAGTACAGCATTTTGTACAAATATGTGAACAAACCTAATGATCTCAACTTATATTCCTTAAGTTTTTCAGGCAAGAACAGATAGATTTTTCAAGCAAAAAGATGTAGTTTTTGTTAACAGCCATTGTAGTTATATTTAAAAAAATGTAATTAAGGCATTGAATGCTGAAGGTCTAGATGTTATAGAGATATCTAATAGCACTACTTGTGTTTTATAACTACCAAATGTTTTAGTGAACAAACTATTTAAAAGTAAATTAAAAAAAAGATAGAATGAATAAATTGATAAAGGAGAAAGAGAATTTATTACTAAGAAAAATTGCAAAAAAGCATTATATAAACTTCTTTGCAAATAGATATCTGAAATGTAAAAAGAAATTAGTTCAAGTCTTTTGGTTAAATCTTTTGAAGCATTTGAACTTACTTTTAATTTTGATAGCAATAAAGATAATACAAAACAAGTCATCTCCAAGTTATTGTTCAAAACTGTATGAATAACATGAGAATAAATATATTTTTGTAGATGAAATGAATTCTGATAATGAACTAAATGTTAAAAACATAAAAGACACTGATGATGCAAAGAATAATAATGCAAAAGATAATAATGCAGAAGATGAAAATGCAGAAGATAAAGATACAGAAAGTGAAGATGCAGAGAATGCAAGAAATAGTAATTTACAATTATAATTAAAGAGCTTTTTAATTTTTTTTTTATTTTTTTATTGTCACATTTTAATTAACTTTATATAATAGTGCTTAGTAATACAATAATAATATCAAAGCCATAATTTTTTTTGTTAATTAATCTTAAAATAATAGAAATTGATTAGTAAAAAAAAAAAAAAAAGTTCATTACAAACTTTGTATTCTGTACTTATCTTTATTTGGTATTCTTTTTTTTTTTAATCTTTGGTATAATTAACTTGAATCTAAATATAAAAAAAGAATTAGTAAATGCACAAATACATTAATTTGATTAACTTTCTTATTGCTTAAAAAGCAGTAACTATTGCTTTGAGATTTAGTTTTTAGAAATAAATTTTTAAGTGCTTTATATTTTCTAATAATAAATAAGTCTTTTTAAAGGTTATTCTATACTGTACATAACTTTAAAATTGTTAGTCTTAGATTACAACATTTTTAAAATAAAATATAAGGTCTTCAAGTTGAAATCTGTAAACCAAAAACAAAAAATGTTAATTACTCGAATTCAAAAAAAGATAAGCATTTTATTTCAGTATTTACAAGATTTCTTTTTAAGTTAATTTATTTAACTGTAATTTAATCTGTGATTTATCTTATGATTTACTATGCATGTTATTTTGAAACATGCAAGCATATTACTTTGAACCAAATATAGCATTTTTTAAAAGAGACAATTTTGAAATAACACTCATATGTGTTATTTTATAACTATATAGTACATTTCTAGTATATAATAAAAAAATACTTATTTAATATTTATTTGTATATATACTAATTATATCTAATATTAAATTTAATACTTATTTAATTAAAATGATCTTTATTATATAAATTTTAAACTGTTTAATTTTTTATATAATTTAGTAAATAAAAAAAACTTACATAATGCCTAAAGTTTTTAGAATAAAATTGTTGATTACAGAATTTAAAAACTTCAAAATATGGTCTTTTTTTAAATAAATTTAAATATTTTAATAATATATAATTTAATGCATAAAGAGTGTAATGACCTAGTGAAGTGGTCAGGTTGGCAACTCTCCAAGTAATAGGTTGGGTTTTTAGATTCTATTGATAGAAAAAATTTGAATAATCATCTATATAATATTTATATTATAACAATTGTTACTAATGATTAGGTTAGGATACCTGTAATAGCAGTTGCACTAGTATAACTGGTAGATTATAAAACATTTATGTAACAGTTATGTAGCATTGTTCTTTGAGACAAGGTCTGTAGTTACACAAAGGAATGCAAACCAGCAATTGAACAATGCAAACATTAGATAAGTCCTTGTAGTTATGTAAATCCATTGAAATTAAATAATAAGAAGTTCATTTAGAAAGACCTGAGTAGAGAGATAGCTGGATTTTTGACAGTTCTACTGTAAAGACTAGTCTGAAGAAACAGTTACCAAGATTATAGTACTTAGTCATAGTAGCCAGATAGGCAAGAACCTTTGGATTGGAAGTCTTAGAGGTACTACCAACCAGATCATTAAAACAAACTGAAAAAAAAGAATATCAGACTAATCTAATATACTAATGAACTGTTTATAGTTCTATACAGGCTATCTGAATTGAGAGTTTGGTAAAAAAACAGAGGAAAAGGCAGAGATATACTAAAGTACTAAGATTATGCTATAAAGTAAATACTGGAGTCTAAGTGAACTTTACAAAAGTATAGCAGTTTAATGATTAAGCCCTGATTGCAAGTGTTGGTTTTGCTATAATGATATTTAGATCAGTGATAAAAATTAGTACAGAAGGCTCTAAAAGGTTTACCTTAAGAATAAAATAGTCCTAAGGTTGAAATAATGTTTTGGGCATTAGATATAACCTAGTGAAGTTAACAGATTTGCAGGTTCAAAGAGTTTAAAGTAAAATATTCAAGCAGAAGTATTAGATATAGCAATTGGTAAAGAACCTTTGGGCAGACTTCTTAACTAGATAATATAAAAAAGGTATATATATAGCTAATTGTATATAGTAGTTCACTAAACCATATTTACTATTGTTAAATAAAGTTAAAAGACCTAAGAGGTCATCTTAACACCAAAAGAAAAAATAATAATTTAATGCATATATAATTAAAATGTCTTTATAATTCAAAAATATAGCTATAAAAAAAAGAGCTTATATTTTAAAAATTGTTAGTTATAGGATTTAAAGAGCTTCAAGGTATGTATAATTTTTTTTAATAAATTTATTTATAAGCATTAACTTTTGATATTTTAAACAGTTTTGTAATATATAGTTTATATTTATATTGATTCTATCTATATTTATTTTATATATTTGAAAAATTATCTTAAAATAAAAAAGTATCTTAACAGTAAAACAAAAGTTCATGTATTGGTATTATTTTATATTTCATATAATAGGCAATTTGATTGGCTGTACAGAAAAATTAGAAATGTTTTTGTGATAGTTATAAAAATTTTATCTTATGCAACCTGCTGTAATGTGATTGGTATAATTGCATATATTATATATATAATTTTTATTAAAGTTAAAAAATCTAAAAATTTTTGCAAATTAAACAAATTCATATAGTTAATTTTAATCTGTTTAAAAGCCAAATAAAAAGAATTATAACTTTATAATTAAACTATATATGATAACATAGTTTAAAGACTAATCTCATAATACAAATATTGGTTATTATATTTTTAACTAAATTAACACATCTTTTTTTTTAGTAATTTATATTGTATGATTCTATTTAAAATTTCATTTTGGTCAAGTTAGCAAAAATTTACTAATATATATTAAAAATAAAACACTATACATGTAAATTTTTCATATTATTACAGAATATTAGATAAAATAAATAAAAGATTATTAATATACTATAAGCTTAAGTATCTTAAATAAGTTAATTAATAAATGTCTATAATTATATTTACCAAATTAAAATAGCTATATAAATACTAAATATTAAAAATTTTTTTCTAAGTATCATTATGGGATGCTATTTTAAATAATTTTAAATATATTAATTAATAAATAATAGCAATAATTAACACCAATATGGTAAAATATTATAAATTTAAATAAAATAAATTGTACATATTCATGCTACTAATTAAGAACTCTTTCTGACAATCACTTAAACCAAACTTTCCAAAAAGCTAAACTATAGAAAATAATATAGTTAATATATTAAACTTTATAAAAACTTTTCTGAAGTACTGTACATGCATTGTTGAACATTGAAATAGAGTTGAAAAAGAGTCACAGCCTTGTAGTAATAGTTTAAAGAACACTTTAGAACTATAAAAGAAGTAGTTGATGAAAGCCTAAGTTTTTCATTAAGTAAACAACAAAGTTGGATATATTAGTTCTATACAACTGTAAAATCTACAAGAAACATCTACAAGAGTTAAGAATTTACAAAAACTAAAAAGTTGGTTTATTCAGCACACTTACTTTTTCTTTGAGAAAAATTTTATAAAAATAGACAATTTAGTTTACCTCCTTCTAAAGATTGATATATAAAATCATTAAAACAGTCAGCAGTATTTACTTCCTAAACAGAATTATTTATGACAGATCAGAAATAATATAGCAATACAAACATAACTATACACATGTCTTAAGCTACTAGAAACCTGTCAAACACTGTCTTCAGACTAACCAGTATTCTATACTAACCTTTTATGATAAAGTCAAAGTTTTTTTCTCTTTTTTGGTTTTTTGTTTAAATAATTTAAGTAAATAAAAAAATAGTAAAGTAATTTCTATTTAGTATAGTTTATAATTTTTATAAGCCTGATATAAGTTTATAATTGTGATTGTTTGATATTTGTGAATTGCAAATTTTACATTTAACACAAACTTAAAATCATAACCATCTGATTTTTTGTAAATTGCAAGTTTCACACTTTCTTTTTTTCTTATTTTCTTCTTTTTTTTTTATTTTTTTTTGTTTTATATCTTTTATCATTTACCTTTATACCTCTGTTTTTTTTTTATATATAAAATCTTTTTTTTGTTTTTTTGCTTTCCTACAAGAAGATGTTATCAGATTAGTAGTATTTTATTGTAAGGTGGCAGTCAGATGAGCAATCTATCTTTATTTGGAGTAGTGCAGCAGATTGCACTTAGGTACCAATAAAATGGCCAGATGATGCTAAACTTAAGTATTAAAAAAATTCTCTGTAATTTGTATATTATTAAGAATTTTAATAAAATACTAGTATGATTAGTGTTGGCAAATGACCTAAGTCATAACATTTTTTTAATATAACCTTAGTCATATAATTATATGACTTGTTATAGGTCATATACATAAGTTATATTAAATAATAGTAAAAAAAATTTTTGTTATAAATTTTTCTATATTAAAAAGTCATAAGTCATATCAATATTCAT